CCCTTCTGGGGCCCCCCGCCAGGGGGGCCCCTCGGTGGCCGATGAGGGCAGGCTTGGGGCCCAGGTCCTTTCTCTCCATGATGCAGGGAGAAGAGATGGTGAGAGGGATCAGGTAGAGGGCGAAGACCACAGCGAAGAAGGTACAAAGAACAGTGACCTGAGAGGCTGCAGACACAGGAGTGGGAACTTCCGGTGAGTCATCTGTGCCGCCCTCATCAGGCCCAGCCAGGCCTTAGTTGGCCAGATTGGAATGCAGAACTTGAAGTGTTCTGAGGAGTGGCTTTTGCTCTTGACAGGAAGTAAACCCCAACTACAACTTACGCACACATGTATACATAGACACGGGGACTAGGAGCAGGTAGCATCTATGAACCACCTACAGACAGCTCCCCATGCTAAGCACAAAGGCCCCATCTCATGCCCAGGCCACCCAGGTAGAGTCCCAGGAGGTATAGCCTAAGTAGGCCTTGGTATTTGTGAAGGTCAGGAAGGGTGGGCCCTCTTCAGGGAGTACTCACAGGACCGCTCTGCACGGGCGAACTGTCCTGCTACGATCCAGGAGAGTGCAGTGATGGCCACCAGAGCCCCTATGTGCAGGAATGGTGCTGTGCCCTGTGTGTGAGGAGAGGCAGGAGGGACCTGGGACTCAAAGACAGGTCCAGACTCTCAGGTCACCAGCACACTGCTGACTGTCTCTACCTACGAGACAGGCAATCCTGTCTCCATTTGTTGGCTGAGGAGTCTGGGAATCCTGCTCCGAGGAACCCCTCCCTGCTCCTCTCTGAGCCTTGGTATGGAGAAACAGGAGTGACAAAGGCACCACCTGTTGCAAGGGTCCTGGGAAAGCAATGTCCCTGTCCCTATCCCACCTCACTCACCTGCAGGGAGATCAGCAGCACCTCCCATTCATCTTCCCATAGCTGGGCCACTGCTGACATGGCCACCACCGTGAAGGCCAGGATGACCACTAGCACCATCTGTAAAGAGAGGTACCAGACACGGTCACGGCAGGAGTGAAGAGAGAAGTGTGTCTGGGAGAAGAGAGGAGGAGGAGAAAGAAAGCAGAAATGCACACAGGCCAGATGGTGTTGGTGCACGCCTTTAATCCCAGCACTCAGGAAGCAGAGACAGGTGGATCTCTGTGTTCGAGGCCAGCCTGGTCTACAGAGCTCATTCCAAGATATTCAAGGCTACATAGAGAAATCATGTCTCAAAAAAACAAAACAAAAACAAAAACCAAAACCAAAAAGAAGAAGTTCACACAGAGCAAGGAAGAGGAGGGAAGGAGAGAGCCTGGGATGGGCTGAAGGCAGCAGGGACAGTGGGAGGGACTGGGAGGAAGGCCAGAGGCAGAGGCAGGGGCAAGCTCTGCAGTGGGAGGGGCTGGGAGTCACTCTGGCAAGAGCAGATGCTGAGGCAGGGCTCTGCTCATGGCGCTGTCTGTTAAACTGGCTGCCTGGGTCTCCTGCACCTGGCTGGTTTTTTCTTGACACAATTTCTTATGTAGCCTTGAACTCCTTCTGCTGGCTGCCACTTCCTTAGTGCTAGGATTACAGGTATGCATCACCATGTTTATGCTACACTGGGGACTGAACCCAGGATCTTGTGTGTGCTAGGTAGACACTACCAACTGAGCTACATCCCCAGCCCAGCTTCTAATATGTTCCACAGGAAGTGTGGAGCACAGCTGTAACGAGAGCATCAAAGCACCTTCAGGGACAGAGATCTGTGGCAACAGACACCACCTGAAACCCCAAACTAAGTAAGACTAAACTGGGGTTCTCTGCTTCAGCCTCTCTGGATCCCTAGTACTCTTCAGGCCCTACCACTGTCTGTGGCTGTAGGAGCCAGCAGGAGCCCCTGAAGAGCACTTTCTGAAGACATCTTATTACAATAGGAGGCCGCCAGCGGAAGTCCTTGCAATAAAACTGATCCCTCATAATCCTAATACAATTAAAATTTCATCACAGTTTTACAGTTGCTGCTTATTACCCATCATGCTCAGCAGCTTCGTTGAAAGTTCAGGGAGGGACTTCTTCCCCATAGTGTCCTTCAGCCACAGGAATAACACAGGCTTGCAACAAACCCCCTACCAAACCTAACCCAGAAGCATCTTCAGACCTGGGGTAGACCTGAACTCAGCCTTGGTATTTCTGTCCTGGGCTATGATGGCAATGGAGAAACTCATTCATTCATTCATTCATCGGAGTCTTGCCTGTGTGTGAGACCCAATAAGATTTGGAATCCAGCCTGTAGACTGGCCTCTTGGTGGGTGCCTGGTAGATAGACTGGGGTCCCTATACCTGAGTCACACTCATGGGTCAAATCCTGGCTCTGTTGCATTGGAGGAGGGTAACAACTTCAGGGAACTTCTCTGACACAGGGACAGTTATAAGTGCCTCTCAGGGAGGGGTTTGGGATATAAATGAGAATATGCAAGCAAAGCGCCTTGTACAGTGGCTACCACTAAAAGGAAATGAGTGTCAGATGTGAGTGTCACCATTCTCAGTGAGTGTCACCGGAAGGAGTAATAGAGGGAACAAATGAAACACTAGGGAAAGTGCCCATCACATACAGCAAGCACCCAAGAAACGTTGCTTACTGCTTTTATGACAAACATGGTGTCTGGCATACAGGAAGTTCTCTACTGTGCCTTCCTAGAGAACAGCTGGAAGGACAGAAGTTAGCTGCCAGAAAGAACTGGCACAGGCACCAGCTGCTGGAGAACAGCCTGAGTTCAGTGAGTGCTGCTGGCTGTCCATGGGGCTCAGCAGGCACCAGCCCAGCTCAGCCACACGGTGATCTGGCAGAGCTGTGGTTGACAGAGCCCTTCTGGGTACAAGCCCTGGATACAAGCAAGCTGCCCCTGGGGCAGGGGAGTTAGCACCACAGAGCAGGGGTAGGGCAGAACACTTAGTGTAGACCACCACAGCTAGGGAGGTGGAAGCTATGAGAGCAGTCCTCACAAGGAGCCTGTGAGGTGGCTCTGGATGGTGGCTGGGCACGAAGGTCATCTCACAGAGGAGCCTTCGTTCGCCACAAAGCAGCTGCCCCCATTACCTTGACCTCCCTCATACCCGGCCCCCTAGGCTTCTCCTGGGGATCCCTCACCTGGTACAGGTCGCTCCCTCCCTGCCCGTTCCTAAGCACTTCTATCCTCCCCTCCTTGGGACTCTGGGGAACCAGGGACTCTAAACACAGACCAGGATTAAAATGTCGCATAAAACTGTCATCTTCAAAGCAATATGACCCTGGCATAAAGCCAGAGGAATAAATGGAAGCCAAGTTCAGAAAGAAGTCTGAATGCATTACAGGAATATAACGGCATCTAGGATTGGAGAGGGGAGGAGAGCGTGCTGGGGAGATGGCTGGGAAGCATCTCCAGCAAGCTTGGCAGGATCACACCAGGCCCCAAAATAACGAACATTTAAATGTCAAAAAAGCAATGCTACACATTATATTACCTGGTGAGATCATGGAAGAATTTTCATATCATCTTGGAGTGGGAAGGACCCCTCTAAGTTTGACTCAACACCCAAGGATCATAAAAAGAGATGACAGATTCAAGTTTTTGTTGGGTGGTGGGGTTTTTTTTTTTGTTGTTGTTGCTGTTGTTTGGTTGGTTTTGGTTTTTTAAGACAGGTTTCTCTGTGTAACCACCCTAGCTGTCCTGGCTCTGTAAACTAGGCTGGCCTTGAACTCACAGAGATCCACCTGCCTCTGCCTCCTGAGTGTTGGGATTAAAGGCTTGCACCACCTTACCCAGCCAGATTCCATTATTTTTTTAGAATTAAAAAAAAAATCCCATGGCAGAAATGCAATAAAACAGGCAAAATTTAAATTCATCAGCAATTCATCAGCCAAAGGGTCAACTCCCTAGATCTATAAAGAGCTCCTGAAAATTAATAAGCAGACCCGAAGCAAAAGAACATGAGATGCGATGATAAACTCCAGTGACCCAGGGCTGTGAAACACCAAGTCTCACTGAGCAGAGGGGAAACACAGGCTGCTACCTTGCAGATCAATAAAGATCAAGGAATCAGCCCACACCTGAGGGTGAGGGGATCCTGTTGTCACAACCATGTACTGTCTAGGGCGCATGGGTTATTGCCCTGTGGCAAAGAGGGCATTTGGCAAGATCAAAATTATGAAAGTATACCTTCTTGTTGGACATGGTGGCACATATCTGTAATGTATGCATTCAGGAGGCTGAGGCAGGAGGATAATGAATTTGAGATGAGCCTGGGCTCCATAAAGCTGAGAGTGTGGTGTATATACACCTTTGATGGTAGGAGGAAAAGGCAGGTGGAGCTCTGTGAGTTCAAGGTCAGCCTGGTCTACATAGAAAATTCTAAGAGGCTACATAGTGAGACATACTCTCAAAACAACAACAACAACAGAGAAAAAGGTAAATACACAGTGTTATTTTCTCCCAGATCATAGCTGCACTGCCCTGGAAAAAGAATTGAAAACTATTGGATGTTAACAGGAGCTATGTAGATACTTAGGGAATGAGAAACAAGAGCAAGTGGCAGGCACCGATGGGCAGAGCCTTCCTGTGTCGGAGAAGGACTCCTAGCACTTTTTAAAGAGGAGGGCAAAGGTGAGGTGAACTATGTGTGTATAACAGAGAGGGAGGATGCTGAAGGCACTGTGCAGCAGCTAAGAGCACTGGCTGCCCTAGCAGAGGACCAGGGTTTAGTTCACAACACCCACGTGGCAACTCACAACGGTCTGTAATTCCAGTTCCAGGAACTCTGATGCCTTCTTATGGCCTCTGCAGGCATTGCATACATGTGGTACACTTACATAAATGCAGGCAAAACACCTGTGCTCATAAAATAAAATTAAGTTTAAAGAAATAGGGAGATCAGTGAGATGGATAAACAGGTAAAGGCACCTGTGGCCAAGCCTGATGATCCGAGTTTGATTCCCCAGGACCCACATGGTGGAAAAGAACTGACTTCCAAAAGGTGTTGTTTGACCTCC